AATTATATATATATATATATATATATATATATATATATATATATATATATATATTAAATTGTATTATATTATTATTTATATATAATAATATAATACAATCTAATATAATATAATATGCAATATAATACAATACAATATAAAGCAATATAATAGAATATAATACAATATAATACAATATTATAATACAATATAATATAATATAATACAATATAATGCAATATAATAGAATATAATACAATATTATAATACTATATAATATAATATAATACAATATAATACAATATATAGTAATAATATAGTTATAATTATTTAATATTATATATATATATATATATATAAGTCTAATAATAAGAAAAGGACGAACAACCGAATGGAAACAATCCCTTTCACATTATTAGACAACCGGATTCCTCATATTTCGCAGATAAATAAGTTTTCGTTCAGCGAGCATTATTATTTGCATCGTTGAGCGAGCGTCGATCGTGGGCAGAGCGAGAGTCGCATAAATTCTTTCGTGAATTACATCGCGTCGAACGTCTATCGACGTGGATGCTTTTTCTTTCCCGGTTGGGGCGGCACGGAAAACTGTGCCGGGGTGAGCGTAAGGGTAGCAAGAACGATCTCAGACCGTCCGCGCGGGTAACGAGCGAGGTAACCAGCCAATTACTTGGCTGAACGGTTTTATTTGTATTTAATTCTTATTTAATTTACTTTTTTACGGTCTCCTTCGTTCGGGGATCCGTTAACGAAATGGAAGATTTTCAACCGTCGTTGCGAATTCACGAGTCCGTGACCTCGGCGCGTAATTAATTTCGACGGGAAATTATGAAGGAAAAAATTTATCACGCTGCTTATATATATATATATAGTAATAATAGTATATAATAATAGTAATAATAGTACTAATAATAATAATAGTATATAATAACAGTAATATTGGTACATAATAATAGTAATAATAGTATATAATAACAGTAATAATGGTATATAATAATAGTAATAATAGTGCTAATAGTATATAATAATAGTAATAATAATAATAATAATAATAGTATATAATAATACTATAATAATAGAGAAGTTTCCGTAAGAAAGAGAGAGAGAGAGAGAGAGAGAGCAATTTATATCTCACATTCATCAAATAAAACCACTCGCATCGAATGGAAACGCTGTATAATTGAAACAAGCGATATCATGTAAGTGATATTCGTGTAAAACTGTACAATATATTTCACATTTATATATAAACTACAGGGTTCGTACAAAACTTAATATAGGATGCTCAATTTCTCTTCTTTCTTTTATTTTACAAGAACGTTTCAATTTTCCATAAATTCAGAGCAACGTGTACAATACGATTCGATACTAAATAACATATAAGTATAAACGTTATAATTTCACAATTCCCAAATGCTCTAGCCTAGAGTACTTAATATCTATAAAAATAAAAATAATAATAATAATAATGAAAAAATCGTGTCTCCGCGAAAGCAATTTTGCGATCTCGATGAAACGATCGCAAATCGATGGCCTGTGACTCTATAAACACATAAAAGTGTCGATCCACGCTGTGAATGATAATCATAAAATCGTTGATTTAATTTTCCTCAAATAGGATTGTTGGCTTAGCTTCGCCGGCCGAGTTACCATTTCAAACATTGCGCAGATCCGTGTTTAAATACCGTAAAAAGTTCCGTCGATTTTGCGACTGTATCCGGGATTAGATTGAACCGAGTGCGGCCCGGTGATATTTAATTTCACGCTGCTCGGATGAACTCTTCGCTCTGGCAGCGGGCCACGATAACAGTGGCTCAGCAACGACGAAACAGGATCCTTTTCTTCCGCGCCTGGCACCGTCGGTGTCTGGTATACCTGAAAGTAATTCGAGAACAATGTATTAGTTACCAAACGTTCAGATCTATTTTGCCATCTCGATGGAATATATAATAATATAATAATATAATATTATAATGAATATATAATAATATGATATTTAATATAATAAAAATATATAACATTTATATAATTTATATAAAAAATATATAAAATAAAAAAGAGAAACCAACCCTGGCGCATACTGTACGTTTAATAAAAATACAATATATATATATTGATATTATATTGGTATTATATTATATTATATTATATTGATATTAAATTGATATTATATTATAATTATTATATTATATATATAATTATACAAATTATTATTTATAAACAGTCTACCAAGAAATATCTCAGGTAACTAAAATTAACGATTAATTTCTCGAATGATATTTTTCTAAAATTGTTAGCGACGAGTAAGTCCAACAACGTAGTAAATAATTTACTTCGATTTTATTTTTTAAAACGCGCCACGTCTTCTTCCCCAGGGCTTCCGGTTGCATTGGAACATACACTTTTGGTACCAAAGTGTCTTTACTGTGAACGTAGATCGTTGAAAGCGTCAAATCGAGAGCATCGTTTGGTACCTGAAAGACAATTTAACACACAGGTCACACGAATTGAATGCAACTAAAATACAGTTGCAAAATATAATATAAATTATGTTAAGTTAAATATAATACAATATAATATAATATATATGACTTCTATTTAAGCTTGAATAACGTGAAAATTCTTTTAAAAAATAGTGTAGCAATTTTTATATACAGGATGTCCCGTAATTATGGTATTTCCTGGAAATTAGAGATTCCTGAGGTTATTCGAAGCAACTTTTTCCTTTACAAAAATTTTCTCCGATGCATCGTTGACGAATTATTCACGAAAAACACTGACCAATGAGAAGCGAGCACGCTCGTTGGCTCGGCCGCCGCGCCCCAACCTAGCTTGCCTCTCAGTGGTCAGCGTTTTTCCGTCAATAACTCGTAAACGGTGCCTCGGAGAAAATTTTTGTAAAGGAAATAGTTGCTTCGAATAACCTCAGGAATCTCTAATTTCCAGGAAATACCATAATTTTGGCATACCCTGTATATTAACTACGCTGTAAAATATGAAAAAAAATGTGTCAAAAAGTAGGACAACTTACCTTCGTTCTCACTAATCTGGCATCCTTTCTGATGCTGTTCAACGTGTGATGCGCAAAAAGCCGTTCGTAAGGTTTCAAATTGGCGGTCCAACTCTTGTCTTGCGGATAAACATTTTTACCGAGAACCGGTCGTCGCGTCCATTCTCCTTCGCGAGTTATATCTGGCAGAGGATAAGGATTCCGGACATAATGGACTTCGTCTGCTTCCATGATGCAATTGTCGCAGGTCGCTTCTTGAATTCCTTCGAGACGATCAAAAAATTTTATAAAGTAAAAGCAACGACATAACCTCTGTGTTGCGTGTAAAAACGATATAGAAATCGATCGAGTCGAGAGTAGCTTGAAGGCAGTCGAAATATTCGTTGCTATCGATTCTGGGAAACGAGAATTGCGTCGTTACAGTCGAGTCAAGAAAAAGATTCAACTTCGTTGCTTATTATTATTATTATTATTATTATTATTATTATCTTTTAATAATTCTTTAATTATAATCTAAATATAATTAATTCAATAATAAATCAATTAATAATAATAAATAATATTTCCTTTGTTATATATACTATACTATACTAATAATATATATATATAGTATAGTATAGTATAATAATATATAGTATTTTATTTGTAATTTTAATATTAATTTTATTATTAGTATTATTAGTATAGTATAGTACATATTAGTAGTATATAGTAGTAATAATATATAGAATAGTATATATTATTATATATATATAATTATAATATATTTATAATTATATTATTATATATTATACATATTATATATAAATCATATAATAATATAATACAATTACACACACACACACACACACACACACACACACACACACACACACACCACTGTACAAACAGAAAATATGTGAACACTTGAGAAACTTTAAAGTAGTATATCTGTGGCAACGATATCATCCTTTCCCCCCAAAAATCTTGAAAATTCGAATCGAAGGATTAACATCCGGCCAACGCTTCCGTTTCACTCGGACGAATAAGACACGCGGGGCCGCACTCTCTTTGTCGGACGCACTCGAAAGAAGATTCTCGAACGTGGAAGAATTTCGTTTCTCCGATGATCTGGATCCATTCATAGGCCATATAGGCGAGAGTGCGCCGGCTTTAATTCACGGCGTGTAAGACCGTGCGGCGACGCGGTCTGCATCCCGTCATTCACCGCGGGGTGTCCACTTATCGAACCCGTTCCGTTCCCTCCTTTCGTTCGTTCTCGCCTTTACAGTCCGGGCCACAGGCAGACGACGACTTCCCAAGGGCGTCTCGCAAGCCTCCCCGAAGTCGCTTACAAGCGGTTTCACGTTCACCAGCCGTGAAAGAGCTTATTGTGAAATTTAAACCGAACCGGGACTTTCCTTCGAATAACCGCCATTCATGCACCGGCTATACTCTCTTTCTCTCTTTCTCTCTCTCTCTCTCTCTCTCTCTCTCTCTCTCTCTCTCTGCCCTCCGTCTTCATTTACATTCGAGTAGTCAGTCAGTCAGCTGTTTGTATCCTGCTCGATGCGCCGATTAAATTCTTCGTTCTTTCTCGCCGCGGCGATTCGTTTAGTATGTTCGATCGCATGATCGTAGACATGATGCTTGGGCCGAGCTCGATGCAACTCTGAGATGTTTAATATGAGATCAATTATATTTTAAGAGATATATATTATATATTATGTAATACTATATTTATATTTTAAAATATAATATAATATTTTGAGAGATATTATATATTGTATAATACTATATATATTTATATTTTAAGAGATATTGTATATTATATGATACTATATATTTATATTTTAAAATATAATATTTTGAGAGATATTATATATTGTATAATACTATATTTATATTTTGGAATATAATATTTTGAGAGATGTTATATATTGTATAATACTATATTTATTCCACCCTCCCCACCGCCAGTTAATAGGACGCAGGACGTTAAATAGGAGGACACCTGAAATCGGGAAGAATCGAAGGAAGCAGGCGGCATCGACGAGCCGAATAGTGTGACTCGTTCCCCGCATTTAACTGTGTTTTGCTCAGGAGGCGGTCGGCCACGGCCAACGTCGACGTCCAATATTAAACCCGCAGTAATTTATGTTAGCACGAGCGTGCATAATGCTGTTTGTATAAAGCTGCGCCGCCACGTGTCGGCTCGTGCCGACGCTGTTCTGTGTATCACTCCTCTCTACCAGCCCCTATATTCTTGCCGCTGGGCCCGGTTCACAGGCGAAGGTATTAGGTCTACCGGAAAGTTCTCTCCGATAGTGTCACTTCAAGTTTCAATCGATATGCACATGTTGATTACAGACATATACGACTATCTCTCTTTATCGTTGCATTTACACGCACGTACTCTCCTAAATAAACTGAAACAAAGATGTCTCGTGTCATTATTAACCTTTTAGGCACGACGCGCCACTATGATGGCTTGCTCTAGTAGCTCACTCGCTCATCGTTCGAACCAAATAATCGTCTTCGTATGCGTTGTTTCACACTTCTTTTGTCTTCGCATCGATTTACAACAGTCTACAGGGTGTCCCAAAAATGTCTCGCAATCCGGAAATGGCGGGTTCCTCGGATCATTCGAAGCAACTTCTTCCTTTACAAAAATGTTCTCCGAGGCACCGTTAACGAGTTATCAATGAAAAACAGTGACCAATAAGAATCGAGTACGGCTGACGCGAGGCGGCCCAGCCAACCAGCGCGCGAAGCCCAGTTCCGCTCATTGGCTCGGTCGCCTCGCGCCAGCCGAGCTCGCCTCTCATTGGTCACTGTTTTTCGTTAATCACTCGTGAACGGTGTCTCGGAGAAAATTTTTGTAAAGGAAGAAGTTGCTTCAAATGACCTCAGAAATCCCCTACTTTCAGATTGCGAGACAATTTTGGGACACCCAGTATATAAACATATAATATAAAAATTCAACCCGGTTCATTTCAGCAGTGAAAGAAACGTTTATTCGATAACGGGTGTTCTTTAAGTAAAAACACAACCGTTCCCTATTGCGAACGTTCTTCATCGTAACCTAGCCTAACCTAAAAGTTAAATTTAACTATTTACCCTTACCTAGCCTAAAAGTTAAATTTAACTATTTAACCTAGCCTAACCTAAAAGTTAAATTTAACTATTTAACCTGACCTAAAACTTAAAAGTTAGATTTAACTATTTAACCGAACCTAACCTAAAAGTTAAATTTAACTATTTTAAAGGTTAAAACCTAACTATTGATAACGCAAATTCGATAGAATAATAATAATAATAATAACCGACCGTTCGAAATTTCCTTCGAGGCGTTTCAGATGCGGTTCATGGAAAATAGAGCGAGACCCGGTTTCGTAGTTAATGAAAGAATGTTCCGCGCGATTGCGCGGGCGCGCGGTATCATCCACGAGGCGTCACACCTCCTTCAGCACCCCCGTAACCGTGATACCGTAGGCCGACACGCGTAATCGCGTAATCGCATAATCGAGGCGCGTGCTGAAGTTCGGGTTGCGGGAGCTTTGCGTACGTCCACATCGGCGCACGTGCGGCGTTGCTCGCATTGAATCAACAACGATCGCGAATCACAGATTTATCCGTGAATACCGGATACGGCCGGGCAAAGCCTTGCCAAGCGTTTTACGAGATAATTGTACCGACGACCTGATCTCCGATAATTACGACCGGCGAGATAAGTAGACGTTTACATGGAAGAACGGCGGATTAACTTATCAAACGATCGCGAACTATGCGAAGGGTGGTCCTCGGGGTGTCGTTGATGTTCCACACGCGTATGCGAAAGCTTCTTCTTTTTTTTCTTTTTTTGAACTTCGAGTTACATGTTTACAATATTTATATTGAAATTTAAGCTCGCGAATTTTATCAGAGGTCGATCGTAATTTTTTGATAATTTTTTACTCGATCGATGGTTCAATTTTGCGAAGGTTAATATAATAATGTAAATGGGTTTCTTTTTTTTAGGGATTTCGTGGGTATGGCGTGAAGAATTTAATAAAAAATGAACGAGGGTTCAGCGATTATTTTGGTACGATTTTTGTTATATGTTTGTTGTTATTGTTGCAGATTTTTCCTTTGGAAAAGCACAACTGAGAAATGGAAAGAATAAAATCTATTATTTCTTCTATTTGATATAAGAAAAATATTTTATTCTTTGTTCTTTATTCTTTTAACATTTATTCTTCTTCAGTTGTGGTTTCATGAAAGAAAAATGTATAGTATTAGTGACTAATATTTAATGGTGGAAGGATAATATTATTGGAACTGTGTTCGTACATGTGTATGCAAGTATGTTATAGATAACAATATATATAACATAATATATATTGTTATTATTGTATATATTGTATATTGAATATTGTATTATTGTATATGTTGTATATATAACAATATATATAATATAATAGTATAAAATATATTATATAGTATTATTATATTATATTATGTAATTAACATAATTATATAATATAATATATAATATAAATATGCAATTATATATGTCGCGGCCGAAGGAGCGTCGGCGGCCATACGGAGATAGAGAAAAGAAAGAGAAGGGCGAAGAGAACGGATCCTTTGTAGGATAGATAGGTGCGGTCACTGTCACAGGAGGGTTGACAAAGGCTGACCGGGGGTAGATACATTCAAATGGTAATCGGCGCGCGTCTAACATACACCAATCCTCCGACCCCCGTGCCTCGCGCTTAAGGGGGTGCGAGAGCACACCCTTGGTATATACACCCTGCACATTCGCACCAGAATCCAACCAAATATTGGCAATATCATCCCCGGCATTGCTCTCCGCGACCTGCCTCCTACACTCGGTGGGAAACGATGTCCATTTGAATGCACGATTCCATTACTGATGTCGATATATCGGCCGAAGGATCTTACGGGATTAGGATTTCAAGGGAAATCGGAAAGAATACTGCTCTATATGGAAGCCGGTCATTTCGCGATGGGAAACGTCGGTGTTTCCGCGGTTTAACGATTATTATTTTATTTTTGCAAACTAGATCGAGAATTAAAAAGGCAATTGAAGCATTTAAGAATATTATTGCATTATTTCGGAATCGATGAAATATTAATGTATTTGTTATCTATGTTTCAGGGTTTTGGTTAACTGTAAATAAGGTAACAATGTTTTTGAATTCTGGTGTCATTGCTGAGCTGTGTTTCTTCTATGAATTTTTATAATAAATGCATGGAATACGTAGCTTTCGTCAGTTGG